ATTAAAAAAAAAGTATATTAAAAAAAAGACAAGAATTTGATTTATCCTCGTGAATAAATATGAATAATCAACCCAAATATTAATAGGGGATGCATGAGAAAAATATTCATGAGTAAAACTAATACTAAAAAGTGATTAAAAAATAACATCATATTGAGTATGAGTCACCATCTAACAACTTAATCTTCTAAGTTAATCTCATATATCTTACTATTATTGACTTTCTAATTTAAATTTCTAACAAATATTGAAAGGAATGGCATTATGAGCTCCAATGATGTGATTATAAACTTAAGTGGGACTTCACCATAATTGAGTTGTTAAAATGGAAACAAACCATTGTGAGTTCATAATTTACTCTAACAAAGTGGGCACCATTCAATGATGTAATGCTGATAGCATGCTTAAATTAATATAATCACATGAATGGCTAACCTCATGACATCAAGCTTATCAACAATCTAAGCAGTCCTGCAAAGAAAGAAGAAAGAGGTGGAGCACTAGAAAAAGCCAAACCAATCCTTTGTAAGTTTGAACCTTCCAATAAGGTGACAGGAACCATATACATGTGGGAGAAATGGAGGAAGGCCACCCATCCTTCCTGTCTTCTTTCTTTTCCTTTTTGATCTGCATCAGTGGGTGCTGCTCTCCAGCATCCTGAGCTGCACAATAGTGGGATGCAGAATCTTTGTTCAGCCAATCTCACTGGTAGTGGCTGCCCTTTTCTGATGAACCATTTACTTCATTGGAATGTCAAGTTATCAGCATCTTAAAAATTACTACAAAGTGATGCTGATGCAATCAAGTGTTGTTTTTCTTGTAGCAGATTTCATGTTTCATAACAGTGACATGGCATCCCAATTTAATCCTACATGGAAGGATGATAAAAGTGATTGTACATAAAATTAGATAAATCTATTGTCATTAGCTTAAACTAGAGCAATTTAATTGATGTGGTATAGGTATATGAACTTAATGTTCAGTTTTTCTAGGCAGTTGGGTTCAGTTTTCAAGGAGTAAATTACTCAAAATTGGCATTTAGTTGTGATCTAAAATATGACACACCTTTACAAAGTGAGAACTAAATGCTTAAAACATTATAATTTTCCATCAGCATCTTCTAATTTATAGGTATTGATTACTTAAGAAATAACATATACAACCAAAATTAGAATAATTGCAATAAAAATGTTAACACAAATTGAATATATGATAAAACAAGAAAAATCTTTCAGGTCGTATCAAGCAAGGTATGCAATACCGTACTGTACCGGTATTTCGAGGTTGGCTCGGTACGGTACGGTACCGTGTACCGAGTGGTACACTAGGCGTACCAAGCGATTTTATATATTTCTTTCTTTTACTGTAGAACTGTAGCATTGCTACAGTGTAGCATTGTAGCACGTTCCGTCCGGTAGCGGGTGGTCCGCGTACCGGTATACCATCGGACCGATACATACCACCCATACCGGGCGGTACCATTCGAAATTGCATACCATGGTATCAAGTATGCTACCAAGAAGGATTTGCCACCAAAATAATTAACTCTCAAACCATATCAGAACAATGGCACATTTGGACCATTTCTGTAGTGCAGAAAGCTCACCAAAATTGACTGTCTTACCTTTGCATAGTTCTATCTATTACATGCAAAAGGAAAAAGCCTGTAGTCCAATAAACCCCAACTTTTCTTCCCAAGACATGATTGTAGAAAGCACTGCTGAAGGAAACACATTTTAAAACTGTTTTCCTTCTGAAAACCAATCATGTCGACTTAAACATCAGAGCTCAATCTAAAAATTAAATATACATGATCATGATGCTTGGATCAACAAAGTTCTCCAAGTTTGGAAAAGACATGACTAGAGCAACACCCAATGCAGAAAAAAGCATAGAAATCCTATTACGTGGTCATGAATCTCTTGAAATTTCAACAAATATTGTGAAGAATTAACAGAATTTAAAAAAAGGAGGGAAAGGAGAGATGTATCTTGCTTCATCATCAACAGATCAGACTCTAGTAGGAAAAGAAAATATTTCTTGGCAATGCTTCTCAATCAATAGGAACTTCAACCTCCATCTTCAAATCAGAGTTGCCAAGAATCTGCAAGAAAAAAAATTCAAGTACAATATCCCATAGTAATTTCATTGTTGATATGTCAAACAACAGGAAACATAAGTAGACTAAAGAAAAAGGATGAATTGCAACAATGGCCAACAATGTGTAAAATAAGAGCACATCAAAGTAGGCAAGAAAACAAGAGGAAGAGGCATGGTTGTACCAAGATGCAAAGTGAAACCTATCAGCCAATGTTATCACATATTGCTGACAACTCAGCCCCATTAATATAACCCAAAAGGCATCTTCATTCTGGTGTTCTTCTCATGGGTCCATCTATGGCGTTGCTTGAAAAGAGTCATTAGGCAGGTGTCAATTACAGGTGAGAGTTGTATAATAGCCCAAACCATTGCTATGGGGGCTCCAACCCACTCATCAAATCATCTATGCCATGCACATCACAGATACATACACAGCATTTATGCGAACGCATGCATCCGTCATACACATGCATATAGGCTTAGACCAATAAACTAAAGAAGCACATTAACCATAACCACCATTAGTCATATGCTTTGCAGAGTACATGACGCATGTCTGCAGACTTGAATACCATAAACATTTATCCGTTAGAAACAGATCTGTTTGATTAGATCAATGAATTTAATTATCATACATCATAATGGCATTTTTTGTGACATTCTTGTAAGTCCATATATATTGCAGCAAGACTGCAGGCAGCAAGCCATCAAAAATATGAAATCCATGTATTTCAAAAAATTGTAACCGTACTATTATCTGTTCTTAATGGAAATTTAGGAATGCATCAAGTATAGTGCAAAACTTTTGCAACATCAAATCACCAGAAGCATTGTGTTTTTGTGTCAAAGTTGCTGGTTTTTGCAGCTCTAGCGCTCATGAGCAAAAAGAAATCTTTTTTTTTTTTGGAGAATGTTTCTGCAAATTGAGTGTTCCAAGTGAAAGATCTTTTTTCTTGAATGAAATCTTTTGGGATAACCGATCTAAATTCTGTTCTTGTTAAGTTGACAAACAGGCATGTTACTATCATATAAATATATCATGTTTGGAAATACAGCCAATTCTTTGTAAATTTTGGTCAAAAACAGAAGAATAATGTTTTATGACCCAAGTTTAATATTTAAGACCATGCATTTGAATGGAAACCAAAAAGATGAAATACTATACAAATACTATGAATGGAAAAAGATGAACCTTAGATCTTTTAACAATAAGAGATACAGATAAATATTTTTCTATTAAAAGAATTTATAACAGACAATATTCCCAGTACCAAAGAATTGACAATTTGACTTGCGAACCTTCATGAAGTCAGACAAGACGAGCGATGAATCTTTTGTGTAGCCAGCTTCTTCAAGGACACGGGTCAAAACTTTCTGAGAAGAAAAAGTAGATAATGGTGGGCCAAAAGAAGTATATAAACTTTAACGAGCTTGAGCTATGCTGAAGTATCACCCAGAAAATACAGAAGAAAAACACCAAGAGAATACTTATCAATTGTATATATACATCCAAGTTAAGCAGGTGTTTTATGGTAAATCAACAAGATCTAGACATGAAAACAGTGACATATTAATACTGCATAGAACTTATTCAATTCAACTCACCCATGTTTTCCACAGAGAATTTCAAAAAAGGCAAGCACAGCTTTTTCAGCAAACTGAACTAATTCTCACCCTATCACAACTTTCCAATCCAATAATACAGAAATCCCTGATCAACTAGGCCATTCATTAACCATTGTGTTATTAAAGTAATATATTTGTCCAACATGTCATGATGTCCTCATATCATAGTATCAAATTTTGCCTGGATGATCCGCACCGGGTAGCATATACCGGTCCAGGCTTGAACAGTCATATACGTTAGATGCAAATTCATAAGAGCACCATGCTATTTTATAGTTCTCTGTCCATGAAACGAAAGTCTTGTAAAAGATAATTTAAGTGCAAATGTTGCACAACTGCATATCTGTTACAAATTACATGTGTATTATATCAGAAAGACAAGAAACTCATGAAGTTCTTTCTATGAAAGCAAATGGGACAAGCTGGTCAACAGAAACCAGCATGTGCTGTATCAGATTGGTACAAGCACAAGACTTCTGACATGCCATGGATGGGCATAGACTCTTTCAAATAAAGGACTTGTGTAATTCACGAGAAATCCATGCCAAATTGTGCCAGCACATGAAGCAAGCGTCATCTGGAGAAACCAGAAACCCCATGTAACTGGCTAATGGAAGTACCAAATGACCAGAATACATCTAGGACACCTCTCATTAAGAATTGTTAGTTTGCAGTTATATGTTGTACAACACCCAGTGCTCGATGGAGACAGCACAAGTGCTCGAAAAACAATGTCATCAACTATCATAATATATGAGGGTATCCTAGAGTTCTTCTGAGTATAAACTAAGTATGAAACTAAAATCTGATCCCATGATGACCTGTTGAAATTTTCTTCATGGTATATTGTCTCTAAGATGTCACATTACCTAAAATCACAAGAAAATAGTTGGACCTAAAGAATAAACTGTGAAATCTCATCAAGGAAGTCATCCTATTCAGTCATTTAGGAAATGCAATTTCTGCCCACTGACCTTAAGGCCTATCATATCCAATTACTTGAAATTTTGTTCTTTTCTACCTCAACTTCCACTATAAGTCTGTAGTCATCCAGACAACTTGAATCACATCATCCCACAAATTACTCAAATATTTTATACATGAATGAAGCCTAAATCTGAAGAACTATAAGATTCTCCAAGATTACGAATTTTTCTGAATGTAGTTGCTTAAAGCAGCCACTATTGAATGGAAACACTTAACAACAAGAAATTCTCACCAACCTGCCTCTGCTGCTCGCTTATAAAAGAACCCGTCAAGTCTCGTAATACGCCCAATATATCATCGAATGTGACTCTTCCATTGGAATCAAAATCATAGACCCTGAATATAACTACAAACAAACAATGCGATGTTCAACAAGAAAGAGAAACACAGATAAAAAAGAATGTATGTAAAAACACTATTAGCAGTCACATTCGATTTTTTGCTGCAAGCTTGTCCGCGGACTGAAAGCAGAAAGGAAAGCAACAAATTCTTTAAAATTTAAGCCGTCCAGCATCCTTAGTAGCCTCTGAAACAAGCAACAAAACCACAGCAATCAAACCACATAGACACATCGAAATTAAGCTCCAAACAACGAGTAGCAGCAAACCTGAGAAAGCGGATTAACTGCGAACTCCGGCACTGACAAGAACTCATCCCCGGGGATAAATCCACTGCTGTTACGATCGAGCTGGCAGAATCTGTGGTACAGAGATACAATCTCTTGCTGCGAAACTAAAAATCCAATCTTTATATTAAAGAAAGAAACTCTGGTACAAAAACAACAACAAACAAACAACCTAATCAAAGCCCTAGATCGGTCAACATGTAGAAATCAGAACGAAACGGAGAAAAAACTGGGCACAGGGCAACTCACAGGCGTGGTTGCAGTGCTCCTGGACTTCTTCGATGTCGTATTGGGTGAGCATGGAGGAGGTGTTGCCCATCGAGGGAGACGAATTAAGACGAGATAAAGGAGGAGAAACGAAAGGCCTCGCCAATTGTGTGGAATAGAACTCCTAATCCTCGTTCTGCCCCGCTTGAGATCGAGGTAGATGGCGTTTCTTCCCAATTTGATGTATCATATATGCACTACTGCACATTACACAACACCAAGTTTTGTTTTTGTTTTTGGTGTTGTCTTTTCTGGTTTGTATATGTGGCTTTTGTTGTACAACTTATGCAAACATTTCCACTGCCTGAAACATTTTTCTGAGTCAGAAATTTTCTATATTAAAAAAGCAATGAAATAGATCTTAAAACTTTCACTGCATTAAATAAAGAAATACTGAATTAAAGACAGTCTAATCTATCATAATTCAATACACAACACTGCAAGCTGTCCACACTTCATTGCAACATAATAAATGCACTCAAATGCACTTGAGGGCCTGCAGCAAATTAAACTGACTGCTACATGTTGACTGCATCTTGAAGATGAAGGGACACATGATATCATCTTGCTAGCCATGAAACATGGTGATAAAAGACACCTTAAATACTACTTTCATGATGGTATATCAAATCTATTTATTAAAGATTAAGGATTTAAAATTTTATCTGACATTTTTTAAAAAAATACTGACTAACATGGCAAAATTTTGACATACATTAAAAATTGTAAATAGAGGTATTTTTTTGGGGTAAATGGCACATACTCCTGCAAATTGATCCCTTCCTTGGCACAATGAAGTCCAAAGTTTAGCCCAACACAAGCAGAAGGAAGATGATGAACAATATTCTATCAAATGGTTAAGATGTTTAGGGCCAATTTCATCCATCTACCATTTAGCAGTCCAACAACCAGAGCAAGTGAACAGGTCAAATTTGCATTTTTGATCATTTATTTTGAAGCTGAAGGTCCCAGCTGAGAAGCATTAAAGCCTCATAGACAAGAATAATGATCCAACAACATACAGCAAAATAAAACAAAATTGACATGGAGAAAATTGTAATGCAAGTTACAGCATAAATAATTTTAAGAATCAAACTCATCCAAGGATCACAATGTACTAGTACCAAAGTTGTCAACAATTTCAAACAAATGTCATAAATATTCTCTTCATAAAAAAAAAGTGTGATGAATATCCATAAGCCCAATAGAATTTTCAGTTTCCCAACAGGTATCCCAGAAAGCAATTTGATATTTTCCCTTGCTTATTTAGGAACCAACTTGTACTCTGTTCCAGTATTGTACTTCTGATAGAATAGAGCTAAACTGAGGACACCTTATCTACTATTTTAGATACATGCTGAGTGCACTTGAACAAAATGTAATCAAATAATATGTCGAGTAAAGCTTTCAGAATATGAACTATAAATCCATCTGGTTCGGTTATGCATGGAGCCATCCAATTACAGGTTTAGAACTGAAGAAATGGAAGAAAAAGTTGTCCTTAGCAAGCATGGCTCAGTGCTCTATTCACATTCATACTGGATCAAAATGATTATGCCGCAAGGAGTTTCTGAATATCCTTCTGCAACAGAAAGTAGAAGTGTGTGAGATGCAAACTAAAGCTTTATTAAGAAGCAACACAATAATATCAACATGAACTACAATCAAGCTGTCATTGTAAAGGCACTGTCCCACTGCATCTACAGTGGTAACCTACCTCCAGAAACAGAATACAGTAGATGACTGAGTTTTTACATTTAGACTATCAAATGTCCTACCATTTTGTCATTAATGTCAACTGAAACACGGATTACAGGTGCACCATACAAAAATCTTGTTGCAAAAGCATATGGAAAATATAATAATTTGACCACAATTTAGATATGTTATTTCTGTAGTTGATGGAGATTTTCACAAGCACTTTGAACTGAGATGGCTACTCATTCTTAAATGGTTCCATAATTAGCTTCAAACATTTTGGTTTTAATCAGTATCCACATGCACTTCCAACCTATGATGGTTACTCATCTTTAAATATTTTCATGATTAGCTTCAAACATTTTGGTTTAAATCAGCAATTCATGTGGATGTGAAAATTTAGCAGATTGCAATGACCATAAAAAGTACTTCGACAGAACAAAACAGTGTTTATTAAGCTTGATCTTCACTGAGAAGTTCAAGGAAAGTACAACCTGTTAGATACCTCTTAGTGATCTAGCAAGAAAATTTATCTGTTTTGATTTTTCTATATCAATCGTGCTTCAGCATTATGGAAACTGTGATTTGAATAGCATTCCTCAAAGCAATTTCCAGTGTTCATGCAATGCCTCTGTATTGCAAAATAAGAAACACAAACTAACATTGAATCTCAGTCATCTCAGAGCATGTCATGAGAGGAACAAGTTGCTTCCATTATATAGACATTACACTCATTTTTCTTATTTTTCAAGCTTTCCTTTTGACATTAGAATCACTGAAGAAGCTTATATGCCAGAATTCATGATATGCACACATGTTATACTAGCACCAATGAGTCACTATGCAGAATTAGCATTTAATAGGATTTCTAGTGCCTAGTGTCTGATTATGACATTGTTAAGTCTATTTACACACCTCGATCTGGAAAGGAGAAGTTGTTGGTGGATATCTCTCCACCACTTTTCCATTCTTATCTACCAAAAACTTCTCAAAGTTCCACTTTATTAGATCACCAAGAAATCCCCCAGCGCTGGACTTGAGAAACTGATAAACTGGTGCAGTTTTTGGTCCATTAACGTCAACCTGTCATGTATAATATACTTTAAACATGAAGTTTCTATATATGTGCATACATTTTTCACATTGGCTGAAAAAGAATGCATCTAGAGGGGTTAATATGTCGTACCTTGTCAAAGATAGGAAAGTCTGTTTTAAACCTTGTACAGGCAAACTGTTTAATCTCTGAATTTGATCCAGGTTCTTGCCCCCCAAATTGATTGCAAGGGAAGGCCAAAATTTCAAATCCTGCATTAAGATTTTGTGAACATTTAGGTATATCTCACAGTAACAATAGCATGTACCCTACAGCAGACAATTTATCTGTTTTCAGCCAATATTCCATCCTCATACAAAACAATTCCTAAATGATCTTGTTCAACTATTACATAAATTTACTTCCATCCACTTCCTCAAGCCCATGAAATATGATTTTAGATATCAATTTTCAATCTTTAGTAATCAGATATCAGCACCTGAAAGCAAATGCCATAAGGTCCCACCAAGGTTGAATAAGAGGGGCATGAGAGATATGAAGAACCTGACGTTGCTAAAGGCATGTATCTTTATAAAGGAGAGGACAGATTATATTAGAAATATCCACTTCTGTTTCATGGAAGTGCGGGATGTATCGTTTTAGGAGATACATGTGCTCTTGTACAGATGATATTTCCATATTCATGCAAATGGTTTTTCTGAATGTCTGCAGTTAAAATGCAAGCAGAATAATGCAAAGTAGGGATGAGATCTTGTTGTTAAATCAAATGAATACGAACCTTGTGCTCAGGATAATCGTAACTTAGCCATGAGTTCAAGTTTCACTCTTAAAAATAAACACATAGGAATTGAGTAATATCAACAGCCAACACTGGGGCTTCACTTACAATTGAATTTCCAAAATGCTTCCCTCAAAGTTGATATATTAAGCTATATGACAATGCTACAGTTACTCTTCATCTTCCTCATATAATAAGAGAAATGGATGTGAAAGCATGAATTGCAGGTCGAAATTAAATATCCAATGAATGATCTAGACCATCTTCAATTAGGAAATATAAAGTTATAGATAGGAAAAAGAAAACAATTAATACAAAAGCTTATGCACTTGACAAATTTAGCATACCTTGTGTCTTGTACTTTTCATAAATGTGAGAGAGCTCTGTGTAATTTGACGTTGTCAACCCACTTAACAATTAGAAACAAATACTTTATCATTAAAAGGTTTGCAAAGCCAAACATTGAGCAGTAGTACCTACTACCAAGTGCAAGCATTTAATTACAAATGGACAGAGAATCACCATTTTGAAGCAACGTTAACTATCAGCAAAACTTTCCCTTTAAATTTGCTCAGAGAAACATCCTTCCCATCAATATCCTGCACCAAATTTATCCTTTGTTCAAGAAGAGAGAGTAAGGTAGACTATAATTGCACACATCAGAATTGACATCATCTTTGACACAACTACTTTTCCAGAATAAAGATGCATATTAAATCTCTCAAGAAAAAATATTAAGAGATGAGAAACAATATAGATATAGGATAAGGGAAGGATACAAGAGTAAGAAAAAGACAAGACAATTTTATTTTGAATTTCAAAATACCAGTATGCTCATTAAGCGCTTTAGACTTCCATTCTCTGCAACACTGCTTCATCTTTAAATATACAGGGACACCACCCATATCTCCCAAGTCTATATCACATACAAAGTTCTAACCTTTGCAAACTCCACATGCTGAATCTAGTTGACCTCACTTTGCACAATTGTATTTAAAGATTCACAATAAGCAGCATACAAAACAAAAAAGCAGATCTACTTTTGCAAATGGAACTTCTTTGGAAGCAAGGTTAGTTAAAAACAGTGAAAATGTGCTTCCTTTTCACCGAACAAACTCACAAAAGATTAATTCCTCCGAATTTCCAACACCTCAGAAATCTATAATTACTGATCAGACTGAAGTTTCCAGCATATCCATTAACTGCCTTAGTTTTATCTTATTCTAAATAGATTTATTTAATTGTCTTACCTCACTTTGTATAATTGTAATCATAACTTTAGAGTAAGCACTATACAGAATTAAAAATAAAAGCAGATCTAGAAATAATTTGACAGAAAATCTGCTTAACAATAATGGAGATCATATTCCTTTTTCTCCTAAATTCATCAATTCCTCCTGATATGACATATTCCAGCACCGTTCACGTGGCAACGGTCAACGACTACGTCAGTGCCAACAAAAGAGCTCCAGGTTGACAAGACGCGACAACTCAGACCTGAACGAGACGACTGCTTGCCCTTGTACTGTTCGGTGTCGTACAAGTTGGCGTCGCATATCGCAGAGTTGCTTCGGAAAGCTCGGAACGACGCCACATGATGCGGGTCCGTACAGGTCGGTCGGCGCTTGCACGCAAGGTACAAGTCAGCCGCCCAAGGAGTTGACAGCCATTAAAGGACCG